CCTGCTGAATTTAGTGTTTCACAGGCAAAGCCCTCGCTGAGAAAAGAGTTCAAATGCAACCAGCTCCATCACTGGGGAGCTGAGCAGCTGGCATTTCACACCTTAGCTGCCTACAGTAGTCCATGGAGAAAGGTGCAACTACAGGGACAGATAAGTTGAGCTGTAGTTTGATTCTTATGTTTTGGACTTTATTTCATCCTATGAAAAAAAGATGATTTGGAAAACAGACAAAAAAACTTCTTTCAAAAGAAATCCATGCAGAGGTACTATGGAATAGCTTGGTCTGGTTTGAATTTGCATCTCCTCCCTTAAGGAGGATGTTTGTAACAAGATGTAAGACTAACTTTCAAAATGTCTTAGAAAAATTCAAATTGAAAAAAAGAAACTAATTAGAAAAAGGTCACTGCCCTTTCTCCCACAGTGGACTGTGACACCTATGCTTCATGTTAGTGAAGAATTATCGAGTGAGACCAAGGGTTATGGTGTAAGGAGAAATTAAATTGTATACCACCTCTTCCAGACTTTCTCACACATAAGGGAAGAGCAGTGAAGCTCTAACCTCTTAGCAACAGATGCCCATGCAAGGGGCAGGAGAGCAGACCCACTGGACAGTTTTGCAGACAAGGTCTTCCATCTCACCTGCCCGCTGCAGTCACAGGGATCACTGAAGCTGACGTACTCCTCCTCCCTACTGTACATTCCCAGGCCAATTTTGGTTGGCTTTTGCTCAGAGTCCAGCTGGAATTTCATCTTGGCCAAGTTGTCAAACAGTTTGGAAAGATGACGTTGCACCTGCAAAAGAAATTTCCTAAATAGAGTGGCTGAGAAAGGACAAGCACAGAGATCACCATACATGTCACGGGATCAATCACATTCACAAAGCGTGATCCTGAGCGTCTTGGGAGCACCACATCTTCTCCTGCATGGCCAGGATACTGCTAACACAAGATTCTTGCTCTCTCTCTCAATACTTCCACCTGTTTCTACATCATTTAGAAAATAGATATGCCTTAATTCACCATTGGGAAATCTCCCAGGGCAAAAGAACAGAAAGTATTCAACCTTTACATATCCTCTTAGCCCAAATTTCCCTATCTGTAGTGATGGGATGTCTCTAGCCATTGCTCCACCTCATCCTATTCTCAGTACACTGTGGAGTTTCATAGAATCAGAACAGCCTAGGTTGGAAGGGACCTTAGAGATCATCTAATCCAAATCCCTGCCATGGGCAGCAACGTCTCTCAACTAGACCAGGTTTCACTCTGAACCTTCCTGGTTTTTCACCACTTAGAAATCAAGTTCGTGCAAATTTAAACTCCTGAATTCTCCTCTATGGAGAAGAAAGACCTTAATTTCTGTCCAAAACCCACAACAAACAGCCTAGACCTATGAAATACTCATCTTGACCAGAAGCGCTCTTCCAGAAGAAAAAGAATAATTCAGCCTTTCCCTTTACACACCCAGCTGGGTTTGAAAAACCAACAGGGAGATGCCAGCAGTGTTGCTGGTGGCTCTCAACAGCGGCACCTGCCTGCTGGGAGCTGAGCAGGTCTCCAATACTTCTTCTAGATGACTGCATAACACACAACTACCTCGCTGCGTGTGCCACACACCGCTGCAAAGAGACACCTGCTTCTCCCAGGACTGATGTCCCCATGGCAAGGGTCAGCTCACAGAACAGTCCCAGACAGGAGCTGCCCCTCTTGATGACAACTGGGGCCAGCGAGGTGGACAGACTCCCGTGGGTGGGATGAGAAATAAGAACAGCCCACGATGCCTGGGGTGCTCTAATGCTTTCTGGGAAAGACGGGTGAACTTGTCCATTTAGTTCTGATTCACTGACTCACAAAGTGCTGCAACGCTCCTTCTCACAAGCTGTCCTCTTTGCATTGTCCTGCTTGGGCACAGCTCTGTATTCTTCCGACACATGTTCAAGCAGGGCCAAATGCTGGAAGGAGCTAAGTACCTCTGAGAAGAAAAGGGCACTCAGTTCCCCCCAGACTTACTTCAAATCTTAAGTAAACCAGAGAAACCTTTTCTTACCTCTAGATGTTTCTGCTCACAAATCCCCACTTCCCACTCCCAGACCTTGGCCAGGCTGTAGAGCTTCATATGAGCTCCAGCACTCGGTGCCATCCCGCTCCCGGAGCCCTGAATACACCTGAATCTGCGCAAGTTCAATACTCAGTTCAAGAGGATAATATTACTGTGTGCTTAATCCTCCTTTAGGAATTATCAGACTTTGAAACTACAGTGGAAAGGCTGAGAGCGTATCCGTGTATGATCCGACTTGACATTTACTTTGATTTTACTGCAAATAGTTTTGAATAACAGAAAACACCAGGAATTTCTTCTTACTCCATGGAGCATTGCAACACAGTATCTTTTCTTTGCTTCCTGTGGTTTTTTTTTTCCTCTCCATTTTAAGTATCAATCAACTACGTATTTATGATACTCTGTGGGCTGAAATCATCCAGCAGCAGAAACAGATGTAAGCACTGTTAAAGGTTAGAAGTAAACAGCAGCATTTCCAAATGCACATGCAAACTGCTCCATTCAGGAGCTCACAAGAATGTTGAAAATTATGAAAAGCTTAAAGAAGGTGAGATTGCTCACTACTGAAAGACAGAATAAGGAATTCACTCCTTAGCCAGCACTCTCCATTTGCTGTGAATATTCTGACTGGTTTTACATATCAACCCCAGCGTAGGGGCTGCATCCCCAACACCGCTGGCCAGAGCCCAGGGCAGCCAGGCCGAGTGGCTGAGGTTTCCTGACAGCACCTCCTGCAGCAATAATAATCAACCCCAACACCGCCACATTCCGTACGGACAAACATCTGAAACCTCTCCCTAGTGGGGACAGGGGGGGTCTGTGCTCCCCTGGGGAGTGAGGGGAAGAGCACAGGGAACCCATATCCTAAACCAAGAAGCTTACTACAAGTTCCTCCAACAGGATGACGCAGCAAGCCACCAAAGTCACCGGGAGGAATGGCATATTTGGAATGATTTCCCCACACCCGGCATTAAGCCATCATGCTCAGAAACCCAGCCCGGAGAGGAGAAGTCTCCCCAGTCAGACGGTGCAGAAGCCCACTGCAGGAGGTCCCAGCCTGGTCCCTGGAGATCTACTCGCTTGCCTTGGCCACAGTCACTGTCTAGCCACCAGCTGCCTCATCTCTTTCAGATTGTGTTCTCCTCTCCCCCTATAAATCAGGACATCCCAAAGGCCCTCACTTGGGGGAATAGAAAATGCATCTTCTGCCTACAGAAAGGAACAGCCTCTCCAAGCATTAGTTGTCAATGCTTCCACATCAGCCTGTGGCTCTTTCAGCAGCAGATGCTGTTGGGTGGCATCCCGTGATGGGCATCCAAGGTTAGCAACAGGTTTTGGCTCAGATTCTCATAAAAGGTGGTTTTCTCCAACTTCATTTTATCCCAGCAGAGATAAACCCACTGGTTTTATGGCATCACAAACATAGCTCTGCTCCGGGCAGTGCTTTCCGAACCATCTGAAAGCATCACTGGGGTTAGAGCAGACAACATGCAGGGCACATGTTGCCTTTCTGAGATGACAGGTGAAGGTCAGCTGTGAAGGAATTATTATTAATCCAAGCGAGGGTGGGAGAAAAAGCACTCAAGGAAGGATAAGCTGCAGGAGAGTCCCAAGATGGAATCTTCCACCATGACATTACTAACACAGCTGGGAAATGCAAAGGTGATGCAGTACGAGGCTTACCAGCTGCGGGCTGGTGCCATTAGAAAGAATATCCAATAAATCTGCAGAAGAAATGAAGTAAAATCTGGGAAAGGCCAACCTCTTCATGTCCAAATATTCAGCCAAAGCCTTCTCACACAGAGACAATCTGGGGAGACAAAGCAGATAAACAGAGCCTGGGACAGGTGGGTAAATACCTCTTCATGTTTCATGCTACAGTTTGAGTTATCAAGCAGCTTCTCCCCTGGCATGGGGAAATGCCTGACATGAGCTGAGCCTGTGGGCTGGTCCTCTACAGCATTTTCCAAACAGTTTTCATAGATCTCTTTCTACTCCCACAGGTCAAACAGCCTAAGAGCCAGAGAAGCCTCATAAAAAAAGCAGAAGCACAGGTGGAAGGGGCTGGAAAGGTTTTGCAGTCTGACCTACTGTTTTAGACAAGCTCATAACTGCCACAGGTGATTTCACACTGGGATGAAAGTTTCCACAACTCTTTTTATTCTAATGAGCCACATTTTAAAGTCTGATTCAGACCTACTCAGCTTTTCACGTTTGCAAAACCTGAAAGGAAATTTGCTTGCTTCGATGTGAAATGAATGTTTCAGCGTTTGCATGCTAAACTCTTGCTGAATTTACAAAGTTCCTAAATAATACGCAGCTAGTCCTCTGCGAGGAACATTGGCTTTATCTGATTAGAAAAAATAAAATCTGTGTTTTAAATGGATAGTTATTACTGACACAACAGCTGTCATATTAATTTTTAAGTGTGTTCCAGGTAGGCAAGCTTGTATGTTAAGAGAAGCGTATCCATCTCAGGGCACTGAGGTCTTTTGCAGAGTCTTGTTACACCGTACGTCAAGGGTATACATGCAGAGATAATTTCATAAATTAAAGAACACGGGCTCAGCTCTGCTGGAGATATCCCTGCTTGGACTGCTAAATCGACATTTAAGACACTGGGTTTGGGATGGTAGTGAGGCCATATTTTACTAAAACCAGATGACTGCCCGGCTTTATACGTGTGCAAGTCAATATTCAAGATGAGAATTTGCACATACACAAAGCCAGACTCCACTCTGGGGGCTTCAGGGGGATGGAGCGCGCGCACACAAAAAAAAACTCACAAGAAAACCCCAAATCTTAAGATCAGAAATGCTCTGACTTGTGAATGCAAGGAATGCATAGTCTAGGGAGAAATCCTCGGAGCACAGATTAAACAAATTTATTACAGTTGATCCTAGTCTGCACCAAAACCCTGGGATTTTTTAATTTCTACCTACCTGCCCAGAATATCCTCCAGTTGTTGGGACAGACCGGGTTTATTGGTGGCCTCCACAACATTTGGTGTTTTCTGAGCTTCATAGGCCAGTTCTTTAAAATCCACATCAATCCCTTCAAAGCGTTCGGAGTCCTAAAAAGCGATACAAAGAATGTGTTCACAGTAAGGCACAGAAGTATTTTGTGCTAAAAGATCACCTCTGCTGGATACTGTCTCGGGGCTGAAGGGAAGGACTTTGTGCAGGGAGCTTCCTGCCCATTTCAGAAGGGCCCTTCCAGCCACGTGCCCAAAACAAGTCTCCAGTTGGCCACTTGCCACCTTCTCACTGTGTCCCGATGAGCCGTGATCCATGCAGACCCCAATGAGCAGGACCAACCGTTTTCATGGGATTGAATTCCTCTTGGAATGTCTCCTTATAACTCTTTCTCTTCTGTGCCCAGATGAAACACCAGGTTGCCCTGGCCACGGCAGCAGGAGATGCTCCCATAAGGGTGAAAGGCTGCTGACTCCTTGTGAGTTCACTCTTCCCCTCTTGCTACAGCACAGGAGTCCCAGCATCTGTCCCTGAAATGGGTACGATGACACCTGCAGAGGACAGCCCTTCCGTGCCCCATGGCAGCAGCAGAGGAGCACGCTGACAATTATGCTTTACACCTAACAGGGACCATGAATTTCTGGAGTTAAGGGTAAAGAATAAACAAAGCTGGGTTCAGAATGCCTCTGCTCCTCTCTCCTTCCCAGCTGGGCCTCCTGAGTGAGCCGGGACACCGACTGGAAACGCTCCAAGCTTTCCTGGTAACGCTTCCACCTTAACCCGTGCTCATCACCAGTAGCAAGCTCGAGGGTTGAGCCCTCCCTGAAAACACGCCACGAGGCTTCGAGTTTCATCTTTTCTCTAGGGAAGGGAAGAAGCTGTTGATTCGTACCACCTGCCAGACGGGCACTGCGATGCAGGCAGCTGCCCAGGAGGACACAGATTGAAATCATGATGCGATTTCATACCTGCCCTTAACAAGCTGCTGGGTGTTAACAGCTTGCTGGCACACGGTCCAGCCTTCAGGCCTGTATATACATACATACATATAGACATCATATATATATATATACACACGGGTTATCAGCACCTGCATGTGTTGCCCAGAGGTGTGCCCAGAGCTCTCCAAAGTAGAGGGAGGAACACACTAAGCAGGCCAGAGAGAAGGGATGGAGCCAGGGGCGGGTATTGTCCGGGTGTCACCAGGCTGGGCACCCCCCGTGGGTGGCAATCCTCACCCACCGGGTGGCAGTCCCCCCACGGCAGTGACAGGGACACTGCGCATGGATGGGGACAGCAGTGATTGTCCCTCTGTACTCAGCACTGGTGAGGCTGCACCTTGAGTATTGTGTTCAGTTTTGGTCACCTCAGTACAGGAGAGATCTCGAGGTGTTGGAGCGAGTGCAGAGGAGGGCAACAAAGTGGGTGAAGGGCCTGGAGAACAGACCTTATGAGGAGCGAGTGAGGGAGCTGGGTCTGTTCAGTTTGACGAAGAGGAGGCTGAGGGGTGATCTCATCATGCTCTACAATTACTGGAAAGGACATTGTAGAGAGGCTGGTGCTGGTCTCTTCTCACAGGGAATTAGGGACAGAACCAGGGGGAATGGTTACAAGTTGCAACAGGGCAGGTTTAGGCTGGATAGTAAGAAATTCTTCACGGAAAGAATGGTCAGACCCTGGAACAGACTGCCTATGGATGGGGTTGAGTCGCCATCCCTGGATGTGTTCACGTGTCGTTTAGATGGGGTGTTGGGTGATATGGTTTAGGGGTGACCTTGTAGTGTAGGGTCAATCGTTAGACTTGATCCCAAGGGTCTTTTCCAACCTGAATTGTTCTATGATTCTATGAAACCAGGAGCCAGCTTGGAAGATTTGCTAAACAATCAAAGGAATTTTGGAACAAGACTGGAAGCAGGACTCGAAGCAGCTACTCTCCCCCTGCACCAGTGCTGAAGGTAGGGAAGGAGCTGCCACTAAAGCTGCCTGGTCCAGCTCTGGTTTGATGATTTGCAATGTCTGAGTAATTATCTCAGTCCTCTCTCCTCTGAGGGAAGAGGGAACATGCCTGCAGTGCTGAAAGAAGCCAGCAGCCTTGCGCTTAGTCTCCAGGAGCTCTGTGTTTGCTACGCAGCAGTGGGGAGGAGAAAAGCAGCTCCTCAGCATGGCTCAGGCACAACCTGCAGCACAAAAACATCCTGGGGCAGCACTAGGGAAAGTGTTACAGCACTAAGGGAGCCTCCAGAAAAGCAAGGCAGCAGGAGAAAAGCCCTGCGGTGGGTAACTTGGCCTATTTCTCATAATGGAGGTGGCTCTTTAACACTTTCCAAACATGAAAAACAGAGATTTGGGGTTTCATACCTTGGGAAGCTGTGCCCGTATATCTTCTGAGCCTATGAATATGCTCTCCAAGTGAGACCACGTACGCTGCACCTCGAACCAGAGAGAAATGACAGAGTCCGCAGTGGACAGCTTTCTCTGCCACACCGACACCTCCTCCAGGAAGAACGCAATATATTTCGATGTCATTAAATTCTGCAGCTGCACCTGGTTGTCTTCTAAAGTTTCAATAAGTTCCTCGTCTGACCTCAGCAACGGGATGTTTGTCCGGGGGTGAGGCTCATATTGAAACTCCTTGGTGCTCCAAGTCATTTTTAGCTCCTTGAGGACTTTCTCCATACTCATTTCTCGCACTGCTTTGTCCACGATGCCACGAACCTCATCCTCAAAATTATGCAGGTTGAGCTTCAGGAGGTCAGCCAGTGTGGTGTCCGAGTCCATCACAAACCTCACACCTGTCATCTGCATGAGTTGATTCCAGTGTCTTTCTCTAATGGCTGGATTTTGAAGTTCTGCCACAGCTTTCAAGGCCACCAGCATGTTCTTCACCTTGCTGTCCAGCCCAGTGAAAGCATCCCACACTCTCATCTCCTTATCCAAGTTCCGAATCTCTCTTGCAAACCTTTTGCACTCCAGATCCATGTTTTCCACATTAATATCCACCCATCTGGTGGTCTGCCAGTCGTCAAGGCTAGTGTTCACGAGGGAGATCATATCCCAGAGCTCTTTGAGAAGACACAGCTCCTTTCTGCACTGCTTCAGCTGTTTATAATCTGGCACCATGACTTCAAACAGACCAGCTGACTCGTAAATTGAGGTCATGGCTGACTCCATTTGTTTAATCTCAATGTGCTTTGCATCTAGCTGTTGATAAGGCTTTTCGGTGTCGAACCTAGAAAGAAGTGTTTATTCTTCATAAGTGGTATTGTAACAACTTCTAAAGAAAACATAAAACAAACAGTGCCTCTAAGAGATAAAGCAGAGATGAAATGTCTATAGTACACAGGGACAGTACAGCCACACGGCACTACTCATGTCACCTTAGAGCGATCCCGTGCACTCAGCATTCCAACTCAATCTCTCGTTGACACCAGACAAGCATTCCCAGGGACAAAGCACCCCAGGGATGACAGATGCCAGGAGACACCAGGAGAAGGTAAGGCAAGGCAGGCAAGGGCTCAAGCACACATGCTTGAGGACGCTCGGAGATGATCACATAAAGCTTTTTTTTTTTTTTTCCCCCCCTCGGGGATTTTCTGATGCTATAATATGCTCGTACCTGAATGGTGCTTGCTTCCGAAATCGCTCTCTGAATCTCTGCTGCTCGACATCAAACGCCACGCAGCTCTTGCGCAGACCTGTCATTTCGTTTGCCTGCAGAGGAGCCACATGCTGTTTCACAGCTATCGCCAGCTTCTTTATATTGTTCCATTTTTCTGGCAGCTCCTGCAAGCGAAATTTCAATGCCAGTAGGGAGTATTTGCTATTTGATATAAGGCTCATCTGATCTGTTTATAGATAACCACAGAACAGGAAAAGCAACAGATTCTGTGTCTAAAATTGTAAGGAAGTTTCGTTGTAAAGGCTAAACACACAATTTGATATAAAACTCACCAGTTATTCCAGATTTTGAAGACTAATGAAGAATGAGACTTTATAACAGACTGCTCTGATTGTAAAAAAATGTTCCATAAGTTCAGAAGAAGGGTTCCAGACTAGAACCTGAGCTCCCAGGATGGTTCAGGGCTCAAGAGCAAGCAGTGATCCTAATGCCAGACCCAGCAGATCTGGAACCTGCCAGGAGCAGCTGAAAGCAGGAGGATAGGCTGCAAAAGCAAGCTCATCAGATTGTCCACCTTTCCAGAACTCATTAAGAAACAGGGCCTGGAAAATCTCCTGCCAGCTCTGAGAAGAGGTGTTCTACCAGAAGGACTTCTAGAAAGCTCCCTGAGGCAAATCCCTCCAGCCCATGTAATAATATTTGTACTAAATGGGGCTGGTTTCTTATTCATGTCTGCATCCAAGCTGCAAGTGCCCGCCACTTCTGACAATCCACCCTCTGTAACTGGGATTTTCCTCAAGAAGAGATTTTATTTCTTGTCCTGAGCCATATCCTCAGCCCAGGGCTCTGCTGTCCTCAAGTCCCAGTGCCACATGTACTGTGGAATCCTACAGAACAGACTTTGGGTTTCTTTTCATCCCAATTCATGTAGTTGAGGAGATTAATGGAGACCCACAAACACTGTGGAAAAAAGGAAGTAACCTGGGGGTAACTCTGAGGTGGTAGAGGTGACCAGAGCAGGGCCAGTCCCTCCTGAGGGAGTCTCTTTTTTGACACTTTATATTCCGGTCTCGATAGAAATCACTATCCATGACCACAGCAGGGCACATGCGGAGTTGCTTCCTTCTCCTTCTGATCCGAACTACCAGCTCCAGCCCATCCATCTCCACAGCCATGAAGGCAGCGGTACCTAGAGGAACTTACTTCTGGTTTTCCCACCACTTACGGGAGCGAATGAATCATTCAGCTCCATGTTGCTGTCACTTGCCAGAAAGCATACAACTGTTCTGTTATCTCCTGCATCTGAACGGCTGCTCCGCATCCCTCATTTCTTCTATCAGGAAAACAAATTAGTTGCTGGAACGTACTTGCACAAACAGGCACCAGACAAGCAGCTCTCGGGCAGAGGAATTAGCAGAGCAGGGTTCCCCCCAGCACCGTCTCTTGTGCTGGACTTAAGCTCTTGCAGCATCCAGAGCCTCTACATAAGGTAGCTCTCCTGGTTTTCAGGGAGTCTGTAGGAATTCAGATATCTTTAGGACCTTTTACTACTCCAGATTCAGTGATCCAGAATCACGGACCCACAGATCACAGTTGCACAGGCAGATTTGCTCAACCCCGCTCAGAGATGAGAACTGCAGCCGAGAACAGGAGCCTTTGCCACGCAGACACGTAAGGCAGGAACATCTCCCCAAAAGTTCCTGCTTTAAACTTTGTGTCCTACACAGACTCCTCTGCCCACAGCACCCCATGGCTACAGGCACCCATCAGCACAGACCCACATGCTTCTCCACGGTAACTTCTTGGGTCTTGCCGGTGCTGCTGGTCTCCTGTTCCCCGAGGCTGGCTGGGCACCTCACAGTATTTTTTATTCTACAGATCATGGTTCGCTTTCCAGAAATGAAAGGAATCCTCCTAAAAATCTCCTAATACATCAGAGCCAGATGTGGAAGGGTGCCAAAATACTTTTCATAACCTGCTCCCAGCAATGTCCTCTAGGTGAAGCAGATGTGGTGTTACAGACCCAGTGAAGGACTGAAGTCCTACACGAAGGCAACTCCTCTGCCAACATTATCCTTCCCATCTCCACAGTTGCCAAGAACTGGCTTATTTGAAAATAATTATAATTCAACCTAATTAACAGATGTATTTGAAAATGCATTAATTTTTTTCAAGAGTAATCGCTGGGAGTTGGAGCAGGCAGTTCTATGTTTTTCATACATAACAAAAGGCTTAATCTCTGCTTTAAAAGAAAAAATCTCAATATAACTCCAAAATTTGAAGCTATTAAGGCACATCCCGCAATAACAAAATACTATCTACTGAGGCCCTCTAATGACAAGGAGTGAGGTCTTAAATATTCCTGCAATTCTCTTCAATCTCACGCTCTCTTTGCTACTCAGCAAATCGGAGTGCCCTGCACAAGTTCGCACCCACCTCCAGCTGCTTATAGACTTCCTCTGGCAGTTGCTGCTCGTACGTCTTCAGCAGCTCGACGGTTTGCTTCAGGGGCTCAAACATGGCATCGGTGACACCATGACGTTCCTTAACGGCCAGGAGATGACCCATAGTCTCCACCAAGCCTTCGTAATCACCTTTTTCAACCTTTTTGCTCAAACCTTTTTCAGTGGCTTTTATGAACTCATCCAGGTCAGCCAAGCTGTGGTGACACAAAGCAGAAGACAAAATGAGAGGAGATCCTACGGAAATAATCGTCAGCCAGACACCAGGCAGGGAACTGGCATGTCCAGGGAAAAATTCTGGCTAGCCCTGTCCATTGCACAGCAACGTGCCGAGAGCCTCATAACCCCAATTTCTGTTCACAGGGATCCATCGACGTGGTACGGCTTCCTGCAAGGAGCAGATAAATAGGTTGGGACTTCTCAGGTTGGAGAAAAGGTCCCTGAGAAAGAGCATAACGGAGACCTGAGAGCTCAGGAGTGGTCTGGACAGAAGGAGTTTGAAAGGAGAGCTTTCATCCCGTCCCTTCCAATACAAGAATTTAAGATCCCCAAAGGAACCTGGCAGATTGCAAAGCTACAACAAATGAGGATTCTTCTTTACACACCACCTCATTTCACGCGGTTTAAGTCTCTGGCTCACAAGGATGCAGATATTAAAAATTCATAGCAGTTCAGAAAAGCAACCAAACATTTATGGGAGAAGGAAAAATCCAACCAGGTCTTTAAATACAAAGACATGACCCCTGTCTCTCAAAGTCCTTGAGCTATAAATGATGGAGACCAGGCAAGTATTTAGGCAAAGTGTTCCTGCCTGTTCTCAGTCTCACCAGGCACTGTTGGCAGAGGCATGACGGGTTCCTGGATCTCTGGTCCTTTCCAGAAGAGCCATTCTTCTCAAACACTTATTTTTAAGTATCCACACTTAGATTCTGTGGATGCTGGTGAGCCAAAATGTATCCTTAAAACTTAACCTAGTAAAAACTAAATTGCTGAGTCAGGAATTCTTAATAAGAACTCCTAAACGCCTCCTCCAAGCTACACAAAAATATCTTTGCACAGAGATCATCTAACAGAATTATCATGCTGGAAATAACACTAGAGCTCCTACCATCCACCGCACACAGCAGCCTTCACTACTACGTGTCTGTAAATACTTCTTTGTAAACATCCCAGACCTACGACATCCTTCAGTCGCAACCACTCAAATAAATCACCCGACTCATCGTTGTGCACAGATCCATCAACTGAGCAGCTACACAGAGAAGGGAACACACGTTACTTAGAAACTTACATCCAAAACTCCTTCTTTTTGTAACCCTGGAACTCCCTCCCCATGACTGCTCGTGCCAGACAACCCGAATTTCTTTTTGGAGCAATATAGTAGGGCAAGTATCTCACAGCATTCATGCAGCTTTACTGAGGGCTAATAGCAAACTCCACAAAGTAAGCACGGAGTCATAGCAGGGATCAGATGAGCTGGGTCAGGATGAATGGACATCCTTCTTAACAGCACACAGCAGGTCCCGGGAGCATCGGCTCGTGGGGTGTCAGTGGTACCAAGCCCATACAACTGTTTCCACTTTACACACTCAGCCACACCAGTTCCCAGCAGGGAATGGAAGATGTAGGGGTTGGGATGGTGTTCCATGCAATACGGCCCCTTCTTTTGTTCCTGTATTAGCTGACTAGTTATCAGCATGAAACAATGAAGCCCAGCCCAGACAAGCAAAACCCGTTTTGGTCAGCACAAGTCCCAAGGAGAAGAGGTGTCTTACCTGTGCGTGACGTGGTCCATGAGATGCTGCTTGAACATCAAGCTCCACCTTTTAACTGTGTTCAGCAAAGACGCCTTGAAAGGCCGAGCATCGACTTTCAGCCAGCTCTGGAAGATGCTGACGGGCTCAATGCGATTCACCTCCTCGTAGATCTTCTCGTAGGAGTCGATCTGCTCTCTGAACTGCTGCAGCGTGGGAGGTGTCTCGGGGACCCCATCGTCCGCGTGGGCCTCGATTTCTGCAGTGGTGAGGATGTGTCCGTAGAGGAGGAACTGGCGGTAGAACTCCTTTCTGTCCTCCCCGTAGAGGTAGGAGTAGTGCTCGAAGGTACTGCGGTACTCACAGCAGGCAGCCATCACTGCCTGCACACGTCCCATCAGGTCATGGCGCATGTCGGCCAGATCGGCCATGTCCTCCATGTCGGCCTAGAAGAGGAGAGCACAGTGAGGCGGGAGCAGCGTGGGACCTCCCCGCTGCCACCCAGCACGAGGGAGCTCCACAGCCACGGACCTGGTAGTGGGGGAAGCCACTGTGCTCGGCCAGCCTGGGCACCAGCGAGGAGATCCGGTAGATGTCATTGAGAAGACTTTCCACCATGTCATAGAAGCCATCGTTTGTGCCGGGGTCCATGGAGGGATGAAAGGTCAAATCTGGGATCACCAAGTCCAGCTGCACCTCCAGCAGGGGAGCGAGTCCCGCCTCAGGATCTGGTAGGGAAGAACAGAGATATTGAACCTTTTTCAAGGGGAGAAAAGTGATCCTGAACCACCGCTGCCATCCTACCACAAGGTGAACACATGTCCCAAAAGGAGCCCAGGCAGGTGTGACCACAGAGCAGACACCCGCTCGCTAGGTGCAGTAACGCTGTGTCTGACACACACAAGACGGAGGAGAAGCTGGAAAACTAGTTGATGTTCTGGTACCCACAGGAGATACTGGAGAACAGATAAGACATGAGTGATTCAAGGACCAGAAAAAAAAGAGAGCGGAGGAAAGCCTTAAATAGACCAGGCTCTTAAACTAATCAAATGGGAGTCTGAGAGCCGAACAATTACTGCACATAAGTGCTTGCAGAGGAGAAAAACAACAGGAACCAAGAGGCTCTTTAATTTAGTGGAGAAAGGCTTGGGGGGAGAAAAAAAAAAAGAACAAAAAACCCCACAAAAAATCAACAGCAACTGGAAACTGAAGCGAAATGCAAATTTGAAATTATGTGCATGTTTTGTCAAGACGGTGAAGAGCTGGATGCAGTTCTCCAACTCAGTGTCCCTCCACATCCAAGAGGGAAGCACTGGTGGAAACATGCTTCAGCTGGACACAAGCTGCTCTCAGCAGAGTGAGGGAACCTCCACGGTGGCCTTAGGCAGGAGGTCTGATTTAGTGACTGCTGACCCCACCTCATCTCTTCACTGGACTAACGCTCAGGGAGTGAGATTTTTCTTTCATGTCTTTCACCAACAGAACCAGCTCCACAAATGAAACTTTACATCACCTGGATGCTTTGTGCTTGAGAGGCAGGAGATGGATGATGCTCAAGCACAGACTTGGGATGATGCCTCAGTTTTGTCTGTCCATTAATCCCTACAAGTGGTGCATAGCTGCTTCTATCCCTCCCGCTGAGCAACGCCTTTCTCCAGTGATGGAGGGATGGAGTCACCCCCCGTGTTTGGAGGCTCCTCCAGCATTTGTTGCAGGCAGTGCAGGAGGCACAACAGAAAGGCAGAAAGAAGAGATGAGCTCTTAGGCATGAAGAAGAGCACAAAGCAGATGCCTTTTGGTGAGATTGAAGCACTCATCACGACCAGCGGAGAGCAACCAGCAGTCACCTGTGTTTTCCAGGAGGTACTTGAGCGAGGACTCAATGGCAGTGAAGAATCCATCCAGGACTATCTCATCCAAATAATCCACATAAGCCTTCCAGACATCAGATGCTGGGTCTGCAAGTAAGAGGCTCTGGTTTTCCTGGAAGAAAAAGAAGATGCCTTCAAATACAATGGGGCTGAGTATATCCTGCAAGAGGGCTGCACACAGCTAAGAGCTGATGCCAGTGAGCACAGGGGTACCAGCCTTGTGGAGGGATGGGAAATCCGACAGATGTAGCTGCTGGTGGCATAGCCATGACTTGCACCTTTCGTCAAGGGCTGCTTTGTTATCCGAAACAATTCAAAATAATTGCAGGGCAAAAACGGAGTGCAGAAGAGCCTTAGGAGATCTGCAACTTGTTCTCCTCCTCCTTCTCTGAGGACACAGGGCTCAAAGACACTTTGCACTCGGGTCTCAAAGGGTCATCCCAAATGCATGAAGACCCAGACCTGATGGCCTGTATCATGTTACCTTGAGTGGACGAGGCTTTCAAGGCAGACTGCTTGCACCTCTGCCCCACAAATGGTCATCTCAAGATCAGCAAGCTTTTAAATTCCATAAAGGGTTTTTAAATAACCCATATATAACCAGATAAAGATTGGGGTATCAGAAGACAGGGGGTTGTCTAACAAACTCCTTTCTCATCTTAGTGTGTTCCTTTCCTCTAGACAAGCTCCCAGTCAGGAGGTCACAGCAGGGACTCATCTTTTCTGGATTGCCTTTTTCTATGCTCACAAGGTCAGGCTGTGCGCTTGCTCCCTGCATCTCCCGGGCTCTGCTGTGATCCTGTCCCCCAGTCTGCTGCGCCCTCTCCTTCTCCTCTTTTTGTCATTCCCAGGTCTTGATTTGATAATGTCCCCTTGTTACCGGGCTTTGACTGCATCTTTACTCCAGGGGCCTCATCCCAGTGAAAGTAGGGCAATGAAAGCCAGCCTCCAGCTGTTCTGCCTCTTCCTGTTGGTGCCCGTACCCAACCCCTCGCTGTGCTTCTCACAGCAGCCTCAAGACTCACGTGCCCCCAGGAAGACTTGGAACAACCAAGGAAAGCCCTGCAGAGCAGCTCTTGGCCCCTCTTCTGCTCCCTCTCCGGGTTTGACCAGCACAGCAGGCCAGAGGCATGGGGACATCCCCTTTGGGGCCACAGGGCCTTTCTCTCCCCAGTACCTCCACACTGTTTTGCAGCTGGTCCTGCCTCTGCGAGCAGCATTGATGGTGCCACCACACCGGTGGTGCCAGCCCTCTTGCCATGACAACAACCCCGTATTCTCCCTGGCCACTCAGGCAAGTGCCCTGGGCTTTTGGGTGTTGGCTGGAGGTGGTTGAACCTGTTACAGCTGCGGTGGCAGAACAGCAGGGGCAAGGGAAAATCTTCAGCAGGGGTTCAGTGTGCAGAGAAGGGGTTAGAGGTCCAGGGCTGACCGCAGAGAGCAAGGTAAGGTAAGCAACAAGAGCTTGGTCTTACAGAGAGGGTCAGCTGGTTCTTCCCAGTGTCCAAGGCAAGATTTTGACTCTCAGGAGAGGGATGGACCTCTCTCCAAGCTGAGGTGCTGTCCCTGACATGACCACTGCCTCACTCTGGACAGGTGAGGAGCAGAGCTCCGGGTTTTCTCAAGGCCTACAGAAAAGATGCTCAGCTCTGGCAAAGCCGCTGGAAAGCACCGAGGTTTCGGATGGCAGCTTTTCTCCAGTCACCCAGCTTCTCCCTGGACCATCAGCATCACCTCCTGCTCCCACAGAGGGACAAGGACTCTGAATCCGAAGGATCACTCGCAGCCAAAGCTGCCTCTCTTAATTTCAGGGCAATACTTGGGAGGGAGATTTCTCTCCCCTGAGCAGGAATCCGAAGCTTGATGCACGACTCCCCTCTAGTGGCTCCACAACAGGCGGGACGTGGAGCC